AATGTAAGCAATCCCATTATCCCATCCATATAAATATTATAAATGCGAAAGTTTGGATGGATGTTTGTTACGAAATCACACCAGAACGGCTGAACGGATGTGGATGAAATTTGGCATAGAGATATATTATCGTCTGGAATAGCACATAGGTCACTTTTTATCCCGGAAAAATATACGGTTCCCGTGGGATAGTGTTTAATTTTTTTGTAGTGATGCTATAAAAATTAAATTTTAATAATATTTTTGGCAACGTAATAATAACTATTTTTTTATACTTTTGCAATTGATTTGGTACTTATAATTCTACTGTCGCATATGTCCTAGAAGTAGCATCTCATAATCTTGTGTCCCTACACAGCAGATGAAATCTCTGAACAAATAAAAGCGACCGAGAGATCCATTGTTTGAACCAAATTGAAAATAACGATCCATTCAGTGTTGTTTCATTACTTTTATATTCTTTCTACATAACACTTTTACATTTTAATACCTTTATCTTTTAGTTATACGAAATGTCTGCCTAAGTGTGAGATGTTTGCGAAAATCTGTAGATGATTTTTTTCATATTTTATTTAAGTATAAAAAACCTTAGTTATGCATATATTAATTTCATTAGTCACTGACGCAGGTGTTTAGAAGGTTATATACCTTTACTTTAATATAATTTAATCTATTAAGAAAATATTTACTTTTTTATACTTTAATCTGTTCTCAAAATATCATACTTGTTCTAAAAACATATGATATCAATTTTTCAACAGTGCATCAAAATGTGTAAATAATGTCTTATTACAAAATAATCAAGAATTCTAACCTAAGTATTTTAAACTATTCCCTAGCGCATCTAATTCTAATAATTTTTGGTACATAAAACATTTTATAATTTAAAATTGTCCATCCTTTTGGATTGGACCTTTTTTCCGTTCAGCATAAAATTTTCAAGAAATACTCAATAGATACTATTTACTTTTAATGAAAAGATGACGTACAACAGCAGTACGTGAAGATTTATTAAAGACTAAATGACCTGTCCTTACTTTCTAGTATAGTAAAGGGCTAAGCGAGCTATTTAAATATTTCTTTACTTTGTTGTAAACATTTACTTATATTTATTATTAAGAAATAATCAAAAAAGGTAAATAATTTTTTTATTAAAAAATAAACATTTTTTTAGCCTAATGCCGTCCATTGTTGGTCCAAACTGTATAGCGCCAACAATCCCCATCTTGGATATCCCGCATTCATCTTGTAGGTATATTATATCCTTAATGTAATATAAATTTAAAATAAAATGCTTTCTTTTTATTTCAAAAATCCTATATACCTTACAACGTTCAATAAAATATGAAAAATACCTTTATAACTAAATAATAAACACGCTAGCAACACTCTATCGACGAGAGAGCGTTGCGTTCGTGATCTCACGTAACGTACTGGTTCAACTTTGTTGAGTTTCTGCAAATTTAATAGAGATAAATTACAATTGCTACCATCTAGCGAGTCTCAGATTGTTTTATTGGTCATCCAAATCTGTACATTCGATTTCTGTAAAAACTTGCGTGTTTTTAAATTTATTATAGTCAATTTACTTAAGTAAATAAAAAAACTTTTGACAAAATAATTAACTTGCAGTTTAATACATATCTTCCTCTAATCTAGATGAAGATGTAGTATGAGTTCAAGTTAATCAAATAAAAAAAATGAAATTAAGCTACCCCAATATTAAAGACAATCTATATATACATATAAAATTTAAAGTTCCGACTGATTTAGAACCAGCGCTTTAATCCGTACGTTCATTTATCAGAACCTAGGTTCTAGAAACATTAAATTTGGAGGGTGTGTCCTTTTTAAAGTGGATGCCTAATCCATTAAGAAAGTGTTTTTTGAAATTCCATCCCTAAGACGGTAAAATGGGGGGATGTTTTTTCTGTGAAACTTTATTCTCTCGATTGACTCGAAAATTGGTACACATACTTTTCAATTAAACTTATGAGACACGTGTATGACAGTTTTTCATCCCCCAACTTCTCAGGAACAGGACAGCCCAAGGAAATCATCTCCCAAAAGGGTCAAATAGGGCTTTGAAAATCCTATACGATATGGTAAACGGGCGCATGAAGCGAGGGTGATGCAGGGCGTGCGGGGGTGTTTCTGTATTATATATTATATGTATAACATAAAACCAAAGATTTTTTTTTGTAGTTTTAACGCGAGCGAAGCCGCAGGTTCCGCAAGTTAGTTATATGTATAATTGTCATAGGATTGAAAAAAATATAGTCTTTACATATTAACTAGAGTGGTCTCAATTACACGAATCACACGCTTTAATATATCAAAATGAAGTGCTCACATTACATATTCAACTCTGTACTATTAATTCCTCGGTTAGTTCACATCACTGTACGAACTTTAATGCAGTTGACCAGATCGTTTCAGATTTCAAGCGCATAGTTGCCAGTACAATTTCATTTAAGTGAGAAACGGAAAGCGGTAGCACTTAGTTGGGAGTACTTTTGGAAAACTAACAATTAAATAAATATGTTACATATTTGTTTAGACATATAAAATTACATTATATGTACGCTTTTTCATCGATAATTAATAGATATAAATAACTTTTTTTTTAATTTTCTGTTATATCTAAACATATTTATTTAAGCTCTATGAAAGCTATTAAAAATTAAAACTCCATGAAAGCTCTTCAAAATAATTTCATAATTTAGAACTATACTAGCACTTCCAAACACTTGTTCCATACTATCAGCTAAATTAGTTATTTAGGCCGCTCAATTTGAATGAATGGCGCAATTCATAATTCAAGTCCGATGCACTTGCACATAAATACAACGGCCATAGTGGTCCGTTTGAAATATTTAGTTACGACGCAAGGCTCTATGTTGGAACAAATCCAATTCTTACAAAATGTTCTGAAAGTCAAGTGTTATATATTTTTTGTAATCCAGTATTTTGTTAAGTGAAAAAATTAAAGTGGTAGCGCAAAATATAGTATCTACAATAAACGCTTTAATACTACGTTCGAACAACCGCTTTTAATGTTAAGATAAATAAGATACTTAAGATACTTAAGATGTGTGAAAGTGTGCCCAGCAGTGGAACGTTAAATAGGGCTGAAGTATCAAGTACTGCGCTATACTAGTACTATACTATACTATGCGTTAACCTACGCGTGAAAAAAATGCTTTTGCTTTCAGAAAGACTATTTCGAATTAATCTACGAAATATATACATAAATTTTATCTACACTATAAAAACTTTTTGAAAAAAAAACCGACTTCCAGGCACTAAAATGTAAAAAATAACTAAACGGAGGTTTTCATTTAGAATAGATACGTAATCAGATATTTTCGAAGTCGGTGCCAACCGACAATATTTTAAGATTTGAATATCTAATAGGTGTATGTATTTTACGTATCGAGATATATTAGATTCGCTTTGCGTCTATTTTATATATACTTATAGTATTGGTATTTGAAATAAAACCAAAATAACGTATAAATTAAAAATTAAAGGAATATTTAGCGTGAAACTTCATGAAATGTCTAGACTTGGCATCTGTAGCGTTACAATCTGCACTACGATGAGCGACGAACGTGGCTCTAATCAGAATCACTAAGAATGCAGCTGCTAGCTATGAGTAGCGAACCCCACACAGCTGTTAGCGATTGAGCTATCATTGTAAATAGATAAAGGATTGTAGCCTTAGTAGGTACATTTGCATTTCAAATAAGAATTCCTTTTAGAACAAAGCTATTTCAGGGCTTTTTTCTGTATAGTAGTTTTTTTTTAAATATCAATCATGATCATTTTTTTATGTATGAGGTGCGTTTTTAATATATATAAATAGTTATTACCCAGCGTTAGCCATATAAATTAAATATTGTTGTTAAGTATTCTTAAATAAGTATTCTTAAATTTTATAATTTTCCGCGCATTTTTTTCTTTTTTTTTCTTTCATAAGAAACTTCTCCTGACAATAACAAACACAACAAAAAATTGTTAAATCGGTCCAGCCATTCACGCGTGATGGCGTGACCAAGGGAAATAGGGATTCATTCTTATATAATATAATATAGATTACATTGACGCATTAAAATTTAATTTAAAAAATCCAGAAGTCAAATTACCGTTTGAAATTATTCTTTTTCAACTAATTTGAAAATTTTATTTATAAAATAAACAAAAACTAAATACATATTATAAAATCTTTAATTATTTTGCAAGAATTCTAAATACCACATTTTCTTTATGTCAATTAATTGTTAAGTACTTTAACATTTTATTATAATGTTTTAATTAAAATTTAAAGGCAAGACGGCCCAAACCGTACCCTTCTATCGAGTTGTAATTTATCCGAAGCTATACCTCGAGCTTCAGAAAAACATTAATCGAAGCGCAGTTCCTCACGCATTGGAAAACGAAAGTGCAATATAATATTATAGAAATGAGCCGCTCATGAGTACTTTTTATGACTTTAAGCGGCTATAAAATTTTGTTTTCTTTTCTTTCGCACGCATTTGGAATTTGAAGAGAACTTTGTTAATTATTTTATATATTAGTTTCAGAGTTAACAACATCTACAAACGGTTCAAAATATTCGTAAAAAAATCCTTCGTATCGTCGTATCCTTCGTATTTTGTTGCCAAAACAGATTTTACTAATTGCATATGAAATTATATATGTATTACGTTACTTATAAGAAAAATACAATTTTTAACATTTTTGTCTGTCTGTCTGTTTGGTTCAATTGATTTTGACAAGACTTTCATTAGCAGATAGCTGATACTATAAGTAGTAACTGAGGCTACTTTAAATGAAAAAAAAAATACAGTTTCGCTTAAAAAAATTAAAACGTAATCGAAGTCGAAAGTCGTAAAAAATATAATATAATAATATAATCTTAAATAAACATAAAAATCAATTGTGTACTTCGTACAAAATGAAATTATGGAGAGACCATGAGTAGAATTTTGTATTACCTGGAACAGGAGATAACCAGAGTCGTACATCCAGAAGTCATCTGGCGCGTTGCCCGGCTTGGTGAGATGGATCGCGAGGCAACGCTGCAAGATGAGCTGGCAGCGCTGCCCCCCCGCTCCTCGCCCACTCATGCCTTAGGCGGGCGGTGGCATGCTCTAGAAAAATACAGATAAATATTAAATTAATTAACCTATTCATATTATATTGTGAAAACAAAAGTAATTTTATAATTTGTGACTCAATCGCATGTAAATAGATGAACAGATTTAGATTAAACTTTGCACATTTATAGAGGGTATTTATGCATGCATTTCTACTGCGAAATAGTTCATTCTACAACATGTGCCATGGAAACAATACATAAACATTTCATTATATCCCTGTAAAGAAGATTTCGTAAAGTTTCTTAATTGATAACACAAATGATGGTTTAACATTTAAGAATTAGATAATCAAGTTTAAATATTCTTCTATTAAAGTTTATATGGTGAATATAACCACACTGCTCTCTAATCTGTATGAATATATTACACGATATTTATACTAAAACAGTTTAATAACATCATGAGGAATCAAAATGAATAATTTAGAAATAATCAGCGGGAAATAGCTTGTTAGTAATAAAATACACAAACTCTCCATAATAACGACTATATAATAAGCCTATTTATATGAAAATACGTTTAGATTTCGATCACACTTCAATATAATAATCTGATAATTTATACCATGTTGTAATAAAGCTTAATGTATAACTCAGCATTACTGATCAATTCTAAGTATACTTTAAAAGATAAACTAGATGAAAGTAATTCACTTAGGTACCTACTAAATTTGCATGAACTAGCTTTTGCATATTAAATGTTGCAAATTTAATATGAAGTAAAAAATGTACTCTATACATAATTAATAATAACGTTAGTTAAGTAATCTATACTAATATTATAAAGAGGCAGAGTTCGTTTGTTTGTTTGAACGCGCTAATCTCAGTAACTACTAATCCGATATGAAAAATTCTTTTTGCATTAGATAGTCCGTTTATTGAGAAAGCGGCTCTATATCATGTAATATATAGTCCATCTACTCCATACTAAACGTTAAAACGCACTTAGGGGCGAACCTGAGAGAAGTGAGGATGAGTCGCTAGTATTATAATACAAAAAAATATAAGCCTTTTACTTGTTTTTTTTATATTGCATACAATATAGGTACATACCAATAAAAAAAACAGTGATGCTGAATAACACATAATCATAAATTATATAATATCACTTGAAACTTTTATTGCGTATCCATTCATTCTCCATTGATGTCATTTTGGACAGACCAACATGAACCACTGTTGAATTAATTGCATAAGCTACTAATGATTACCTAATTATATTTTTTTCTACATAAATTTTTGATGTGTAACTTTGAACTTGTAAGGAATATTCTTTACATGTAAAAAAGAAAAAAATACAGCTAGAAAAAAAATACTGCTTAGAAACACTTCATATTACGAAAAACAAGCTAAACTACGTACAACACGCAAACGGACAAGCCGATATGCTTTTCAATTATATAATTAATAACGATAAAGCACAATGACGAAAACTATTTCGACAATAAGCTCTATTTATAAGCACAAGACATGTAGCGTGACCAAGCTTACGTAAGCACGGAGGTGGACGCAGGAATTATTTCATTTGTCATTGGATTATAGGGACACCTGAATCAATAAAGTGTATGGCCACAATTTATATCACATCTTAGCGAATTGTGCAACACTTGCGACAGTGCAAACTACATTCTCAGGCATTTAAGTTGAAGTATGGCTATTTAAGTTAAGTGATTCACTTTGTTAGTTTTTGTTCGGCTAAGATTATTTTCTTTATAATCAGTCACTCTTCATTTTCGTATTTTATAAAGAAATGGGCCAACTTTATTGGGTTTAACTAACTACCACAAGTTCCGGAAGCAAGAACAAAAGTGCAACGGTGTGAATGTTTTGTTAATACTAATTGTTCCTTTGATGTTGTTTTAAGTGAATATAAGAGCTTTAGTAAAAGAACCTTGGAAAAATGTGTTTCTCCACAATAGCCTTCCTTGTCTTACCTGAAGAAATATAACATGAAATGTTAAACACATGTATTCTTTCAACAGATTATGTAAAGCCCTTGACATGACGGTTTGAGAGCGAGGCGATATAAGTCATTAGCCGTACCACGTATCTTTAAGCATAAGTTTGCATAAAATTATATTTACTATTTTCCAAGTTTCGCTCAAACTATAAGCCAATTTAAACTCTTTAATTTACAAGACCTAACGCTTTTTTAAGAAAATACGAGTATTATTATATTCTAATTAAAATTCGTAATTCTTTCAGAATTCCGATCCAGGCTTTATTGTACAGTTTGTATGAACTTTCATAAAGTATCATTATTTATTAACTAGCGAATCACCCTCGCCCCGCTCGGGTTCGTCCCTACTTACGTTTTAACCTTTAGTGTAAGATTTCTCAGAAATGAGATATTTTTCCGCGGTAAAAAGTATTCTATATCTTGACTCGTATAACCAGCTATCATCATATTAAAATTCATGAAAATCCTTCCAGTGGTTTTTTCGTGATGCGGTAACAGACAGAGAGACAAAAATTCTAAAACCTACAGATTCGGCCTCTGTATCCATGATAATGTCTATTTCAATAAGACTTCCCAAAAAAGATTTAATGTACAAACTCAGCTTAATTACAATTTTTGCTGACGACATGTTTGGCTCAGTTTGTAGTGACCCTACTTGCTGTGCCAGCGGTCGCGGGTTCGATTCCCGCTGGGGGGCATTCATTTGTGTGATGAGCACGAATGTTTGTACTCTAGTCATGGGTGTTTATATTTATAATATGTATGTATTTAAATTTATATATGTGTAGTGTATCAACTATCTGGTATCCATAACACAAGCCTCGTAGCTTACCATGGAACTAGATGGCGCTGTGTCTTAATGTCCAAACATATTTATTTATTTATTTATTTATTATAATATGTAGGTATAGATTTTCATTTTAATAATATATTGTTTAAGCTTCTTATACAAATACATATAAAAGTTGTCGGAACCTTGTTACAAAAAATTGAAGATCTTGTTAAGAAATGATATCACATACTTAGTGATTGACTCTAGAGTTTATATTTCAAAGTTAAGTAATACGCGGTAATTGGATTAATTTCCGTCACAAACTCAGCTAATAACTTGTCAACGTGATATCGGACAAAATATGCTTAGGGAATCTGAAAACCACTTTAAATGAACAGCAGATTTATATTGGGCTTCTATGACAAATATTAAATGTATGTATATACATATATAATTTTACATATAATGATCTTATAAAAACACTAAGTATGTTGCAAAGGTAAAAGGATTATGATTTTTTTACTTTGGGAGTAAATATTGTGACTACATAAAATTTCTGAAGCCATTTTTCTTGAAAATTTGCAAAATGTTGAATGAAAATGGAGCAAATTTAGAAAATTAATTCGTGTGACAGTATAAACTCCACACTTATAAATTATTATACGTCCTAACAAATTACCAAAATAAAAAGTAAATTGTATAAATAGAAAAAGTTGTGATAAACCTTTATTAACGGACTCGCTTGAAAAACCAAGTGAAGCTGGTTTGAGCCTCTGATCTCGTACCTCTGACGATGTCATGTGTGAATCATTTTCAACTAATATAATAAGGAAAACGGTGATGTAAACCACATATATAAGAGAACTAGACTAGTTTTTGAAAGACATGTGAAGTCTGCCAATCTCACATTTAGCCAGCATGGGAACTCTGGCCTAATGTCTTTGAGGCCAGTGCCCAACAGTGAAACGTTAAAAGTATCTGAATTATAATTTTATTGATATTGATGAGATATAAAAATAGGACGAATTTATACAACCTTAACAACAAACATTTAACAATGTTTTACATAAATACGCTAAGTTTACCAGAAATGGTAACAGAAAATTTAAAATTGAAAAGTAAAATACCTGATTGCAATAGGTTTATAAATTTAATAATAGTTTCTTCAAAAATTGAAGACAAATTATACAGGGGAAAGGGGGGTACAGTGAGCCGTAGTACACAGTGAATCAGTGGCTACTTCTCTTTGCCTATGCTTTCTATACACGTACCATAATCATGGAAGACATGCTTTAGTACTTACACCTCTACCCCGCCAGTGTCCATCACGCTCTCGCTGTTAAAGAATGTGTTACCGCCATTTGGCTATCCGTGAGTATCAAAACTATTTTTTTACTACTATTACTCGAGTGTTTTATTCACGAAAATGTTTAATATTGAATGACTTACTTTAAATTACCTAAACAATAATCTAATAAGCTTCAGAAATAAATAGCTGTTTGATTCGTATAGATTATGTAAGTTATAGAAATTTGTTGTTCAGTTGTTAGTGGTGCTTTGGGGAACAGTGGGCCATTTCCATGTGGGGTACAGTGGATTGGCGATCCACTGTACTCCACACTAAATTTCGAGTTGATTAGACTATTTTATTTATAGTATGTAATAATAAATTGTTATAGATTAACATCATAGCACGGCACAGAAAGAGTAAGACTCAAATTGGTCTTACTACTGAATAACTGAATAGATAAAATGCCATTGTCTTTGTTTTACGGGGCAACAAAATTAGAAAAGTTGTAAAACTAGAAAAATAATCCATATGCAACCTTACATAGATATTATGCGAAAAGATATAACACATTGGCAAGCTACGTTTAACTCCCAATCATGGGGTAAATAAGATTTTCACTGGAAAAAGAATATATCGAGCAACGTCAAAAAGATAAAATTAATAAGCTTGTGAAAGTAGCAAAAAATATTAGTAAAAAAGTTATGCAGTTCTATTCTAGTGACGAAGATAGAAAAAAACAAAGGAGTAGTACAAATTAAGAGAGAGAAACGACTAATAAGTACAAAGAGAATGAAAAGAAAAAATTCTGCGTCTAGTTTAGTTAGATGCACATAAAAATAAAGTATTTTACACAGGAAAGGGAAAGAGAACAAAAGTAAGGAATGGGTACAGATTACCTGATGTTCCAAATATAGCTTCAGTATATATAATAATGAAATTACCTCT